CCCCCCCCCCCCCCCCCCCCCCCGTTACAGAGGCCTCGCTCTGTGACCTCCAACGCAAGGAGAGCCCGATGAGGAGAACGATGATCTGAGCAGATTGTCGTGATTTGTGTGATTGCATTTTGAAGTGATACATTCAGAGTAGAAAGGCAAAGAATTACTGTGTTAAAGCTGTCGGCACTGATAGTGGGTTTTTGTCACCATTCCTATTTACTCAAGTCATACGAAAGAGTGTTTCACGTACAGATTTTACAAAGTCTTAGCTCATGAGCCATCAGTGGAGTTGAATAGGTTTGTTTGTTGTTTTCTACATCATATTCAGCTCCAATAGTGAGATTGTGGCTGAGTGTTGGTGATAGCGTCGGTTCTTAAAGTGGTACTAGCCACCAATATATATACCTGAACTGGTAGTAATAGTTTCTTTTAAAAGGTTTATATAAAAAAAAAGTAGTTATAAGTTATTGTTTATTAATAATCAGATAGTTTATTAGACATTTGAATGTCCCATTTAGATCTGTTTATTTAAATGGCTCCAGCAAAGTGAGATTCTTTCTACATTTAATTAAATCCTTTCTCGACGTCCATCACTGGTTCACATTTTTGCACCATGTTTTTTTCATGTGCATGCCAACGTACAACTTAACGAACACACCGTGTCGGCTCATAAACAGTAACAATAAGCTGTTAAGTGAGTCTCATTCATGGTTAGTTGTTCACACACAAACACTTTCTTTGAATTTTATGTTTTGCTGTCCGGTTTTCATTAATGTATCATCAGAAGAATGAGTCAGAGTCAGATTTTTGACTGTTGGCTTTGCTTTAAAATGACACCAAACAAGTCAAATGTACCCTGCAGATGTTATCACTAAAGTCAGTTTGAAAACATGTTGAAGAAAATTTTGAAAGCACTTACTCGACTGATGTAAAGTTGCACATTGTAAAATAGTTTTGTCCTTCTCAGAATAAAGTTATATTTATTCAAACGAGTAAGAAATGTTTACTTTTCTGGAACAGGTGGGTATAATTCTGATGTTTATAGTATCTAATGCTTATGTTAATATCCCTACACCTTATTAAGAGAGGTTAACGGGTAATAATCTGCTACCACGTGTTTTAAAATCTACATTTCTGCTGTCATTGCTGAGAGTTTGTTTTGACTGTACTGTAATCAGAACCCTATTAGCTTAAACTGGTACCAAATTCAAAACAAATGGAGAAGCTCTGAAGCCAATTAAGCATTGCTAATCAGTCCAATTAGAGGGCAAGGGAGTTCAAATAGGCATAAAATTACAATCACCTTACGTGACCTAATTATACTCCAGAGCCTCATTTGACCAGCTGCCAGGCCTGCTTGTTAACTGGGTGCTGTATGTGTTGCTGAGTAGTAAATATCTGTGGGCTGTGAAATAGGATGTTTCCAATTATGTTTTATATGATTACAGCACTATAAACACAATAATAGCACATAATAATGATTCACAGCAATAAAACAACACAATAAAAACCAAAACGTTTGCACACTAGTTTCTCTACGCTAATTGAAGTTAATTAAGAGCTTATTAACACTGGTTGTTTAATCCTGTGATTATAGATTTATTAAGTCAAACCACACATGCATGCGGGGGGGGGTGAATCCTTTTTGTTTTACACTTTCTCCTGTACTGAAACATACGCTTTGTGCCTTTAATCTCCAGTTCTCAATAAGGAGAGTTGGGTTTATGAGGCTGCGTCTTTCTGTCCGAGCAGACGGGTCACTCCTCCTCGGTTGTGACATATGGCTTTTGACAGAGGACACGGCTCAGCCATCGGTGCTCAGACAAGCCAATCATGTGAGGGGTTGTTAAAAAAAAAAAAGAGTGGAAGACACGTAAGGGCCGGGGACACGTCTGAGACGAGGCCCTCAGACAAGACAAGCAGCAGCTGGCAAACTACATCAATCTGTAATCAATGAACCAACTGGTAGATGGGATTATATGCCTAATTGCACAGCTAACCAGTCCATCCCAAAATGACCAGACAGCATCAGCTTGTGTCCATGACCCAGTACCAGAGACGGGCATTATTCTAGGCCTCTGACGGTGATTAATCATTCATAACCTGCCTCTACAGCCAAGCTTCGAGTTTGTGACAGGAGCTACGTGTCCTGACAAAGGACCAAATATTTAGACCCTCAAGTACTAATTAGTAATAATACCACAGTGTAAAAGTATCATAAAGCACCCATTATGCAGAATTAGCTCTTCTAACAGTGTTAAAAGTTATGTATTATTATCGGCATTAATGTGTAAAAAAGTATTTTAATTGTGTAGCTGGTCAAGATTGTTCTAATTTTAACTAAGCTGTATATTGTTTTTATAGTAGTTTCATCATTTTATAGGCACTATACAAATAAAAATAGTTTATAACAACTTATTATATTGTAATAGCTCATTATTTTGTATGTAAAAATTAAAACTACAATAAAAAAAGACCCAAAAAGTAACATAAGTATCAAGTGAAATTAAATTAAAGTACTCAAACTATCGAACTTTGCTGTATTATGAGAAATTAATCACATTCTGTGCATCTTTTTCTCCGATAAACACAATTTTATGTGATTCGTTACTTTAATTTAAAGTAGAAAGCGAGGTACAGTTACAGTAGATCAGCGTGTTTCATCCTCCTGAATTACAGAACTCGATGTCGGCAGATGGGACGGACAGACAGACAAATTATTCTGTCTGTCTCATTTTCTCGGACCACTACACAGATCAATTATTTATTTCTCATGAGGTCCCGAGTACATAAAGAACATTAACGCGTCCCACATACTGTGATTCATTAACACCCCGTCAGACTAATGTACTTTTTATTAAATATATAAAAGTAGACATCATTCTGTGTTTTCACCTGTTCACAAACTGCCCTTCGGCCCTCAGAGGGGCAGCAATCTGTCCAGCATCTTAGGTCCATATTGTTTGAGGGCCATAATCCCCCCGATGTGCCGTTAAAATCCCTCAGGTTACGGGCCACACTTACACTTCTGTTGCCTCGGGCTAATCTCAGATTATGGTTATTATCGCATACACGAGAAGTGAAAGGGGACTTCTTGGTGGCTTATGTGACTTTATAAATTAAAGCCATTTAATGTGTGAATAAATTAGATATTAAGTTGAGATTTCAACAGCAGCAACATTTTATTAGGTGAAAACTTGTTAAATAGTGATTAATTAACAAATATTAAATGTTTTATTAAGAGATACAGTGTGTGTAATAATTTAAAATTAAATAAAAATGACACCGAGGGGCTTTAACTTGCCATTTTACCAACTTTTGTGCTGTTTACTTGCTTACATTGGAGGTTAAATATATTCCATAATATGTTAATATTCTGTTTAATTAAAGCTTCATCAAGAGCTCAATCATTAATAGTTAATGTTTTCTCTTTGGTGGGGATAGAAAATAAGATTAACTGGAGGAAAACAACCTTTTAAAAGTTAGTTTGCACCATCAGCTGTGGTGAGTCGAGCTACCAGATGGTGGACCTTTGGTGTTTGTGACACATGGCTCTGAGCGAAGCTACGGCCAGATAGCAGCCCGGCCCGAGATAATTGGAATTTCATTAAGGTTTTGTTTGTGTGTGAGTGTGCGTATATGTGTGTATGTGTGTGTGTGTGTGCTGAGAGTGGGTGTGTTTCTCTCTATGAGCAATATTGAGGATGGGGTGTGGAGGCTGGGTTGGGGGGGGGCTCCACCTGCTGCCACCTGTTCATCTGCTCCTTCTTATAAAAGCTGCTCCCTCACTGTCTTCAGGCCCACAGACACCTTGGACCCCTCCACTATCTGGACCTCGCAGCTTTGGACTCCGGGCTGTAACTTTGAGGAAGACCCTCTGAGGAACCCTGAAGCTGGAACTTCTCTGATAGATCTGTTGACTCGCGTCTGAGTCCGTCTGATCTGAGGACGATACGCCGGTTTTGATTCTCTCGAAACCCGAAAGCCATGAAGTCTCGCCGACCCAGCTGCACCGACTCCGGATCCGAGTCCTCAGATCTGGACTCCAAGAGCCCGGAGAAATACGAGACCGCCACGAGGCGACGGATGGCCGCCAACGCCAGAGAGAGGAAGAGGATGCAGGGTTTGAACACAGCCTTTGATCGGCTGCGTAAAGTGGTCCCCCAGTGGGGCCAGGACAAAAAGCTGTCCAAATACGAGACCCTGCAGATGGCCCTCAGCTACATCATGGCCCTGAACCGGATCTTAACAGACGCCAGGAGGCACAACGCTCCTCACAGGCAGTGGTTGGACCTGCAGTTTGACTGCGTGCAGCCTGAGAACTACCCGTGCCTCATGAGGTACGACTCCCCGACCGAACAGGAGTACATCCACTCGTCGTTCTCGTACGAGTTCGACGGACATCAGGTCCACGCGTAAACCTGCTGCCACGTGGCAGATTATCAGTCATGTTGTTGGACGTGAGTGACAATGTGAATATTCTTCCTTTAATCTAGGAGACAGTAAATACATTTGTATTGCATTATTTTGTTTTTGTATGATTTTGTGTGACAATCAGAGAGGTTTTTATTTCAGTTTGAAGTGTTTTTTTGTGTGTTTTTGCTAGGAAACAGCGATGTTGAGCATGTTTTTGTTCATAGAAATGACAGATATGTAGCGTCATTATAATGACCACTAGCAATGATGTATTTCTATCAGTTATTTTGATATGGACCTAAATTGTTGTGCAATGTTCAATGGATTCTGAGAAAATCATTGTGGTTTTAGTTGCTTAAAGTCAACATGTAACTACTGTGTTAAAGTGTAAGAACGTGTTTGTAGAGTTGAAAAACAGGAGTTATTTTTCACATGCAGACCTCTATTTTGTTGAATTATAGTTTTTGATCAAAAAATAAAAAACTATTTTGTATGTAAAAGCATTTCTCTTGTTCTTTATTGTCTTCTTTATCTCTATTTTATAAATAATGCGGATATGGAACTGTATGTAATGTTTATACTGTATATAATTCCACTACAACTATACAAAGCTGATTACTTATTAACTAAATTTACTTTTGCATCCTCAAAAACATCTGTATTTGCAAAATATACCCAGGACATACTGAAAAACTTAAACATATTTTACTGAATAATATTCTCATTTCAATAAAAACGTACTCGTTACTAGAAAGCTCTGGCATTTTTAACCCTCATAATCTCACTTTGTCTCCCGTGTGGTATTAAAAAAAGGGTTATAAAGGGAGAACAATTAATTTACAGCACATCCTTTGTTCTGTGTGTCAAGTTCTCAGTAGGAGTAATGGCAGGTCATGTCCGCTGCGCTGCCTCGCTCTGCACCCCGGGGAATAAATCACCCTTTTGTCCCGAGCTCCTGTGCTCCGAGATAAGACACTTGTACGTCAGCGGGGGGACCAAAATCTAAACGTTTAAAACACACTTAATTTGAAGGGATCAAGTACAGTTATTTAACCCTCTAATCTCAACATTTCTCTACAAAAACAACACATGTGAAAGTATTAAACTGATTAAATTCTGCAACAGGACGCTCCAACGTAAGAAGAGATGAATGCCAGATGATCTGCAATTGTCCATTGTTGGAGCCACACGGCTACAGATTTAAATGGCAATCGTCGGCCACTGAAAAAGTGATTGTTCCAGATTTGTAAAAGTTTGAATGGTGGCACAAGCCACAGCAAATTAAGGAAGGCTGTGTGCCAGATCCTGCCACGGCTTCAGAGGGGGAGCAGAAATTAAACTCCATTGTGTGGTAATGGCTGTGTGTAATCGCTCTGTTCAGAGCAGCTGAAGCATGAACGCCCATTGCTGGACTCAAACTCTATTCTCTGCGTTGGAAGTATAAGACATCCACAAGCGGTGCATTCACTCTAGTCTGTTTGGTTTAATGCTCAAAATAAACAAAGACATAAAGAGATAAATACGTAGAGATATCCGTTAGAGTGCATCATTGATATTACCACTTAAATCCTCCTGTGTAAAGTGTTTGAGGAGAGACTTGGCCGATGGACGAAGAACCAAACACCGATACAGATGGTCGTAATCATTCATACGCCACTTTGAATGTTTGCATACCCAATAAAAGCTTTCTGACAGTTGGCGTGTCAAAAAACAAAGAGATGGCAGAGTCAAAAGTGCATAATGGTAATGAGGCG